TCCGTTTCCACTGTTCCTCTGCATCTCTGGTCACAGGTTTTACATCCTGGGCAGGTGGAGCCAAAATTGGCCTGGCCCAGGCTGTACCTGCTGCCAGGTACGCTGGGCCAGGGCGTATCTGGCATCTTTCAGCATTTGTAATGGCACGTGAGCTCTGTCTTCCATTGAGACTTCGAAAGGGAGAAGGGGTTTCAGAGGCTGAGGAGCCAAACCGATGACAGATAGCCAGGTTGATGAGCACGTGCCTATCATCTTGTTAATCCCTGCCCAAGGCCAGCAGTGAGCTGGTGATTACCCCTCAGTGCAGCTGCCAGCATCAGTTTACTCTCGGTCATTTAGGCATTTTCTGCATGGGGGATTGTCTGAGGTTCCAAACTGTATGCTGATGAATTACTGGGATTTCATGTACCGTGCCTTCATCTGGTGTAATCAGGCTGGTAGATGGAGCTGCCTGCCCTGTGGATTATACTTAGTAGAGTAGAGGTGGGGAGTGGGAGAGAGAGTAAGGTAGGCAGCATGCAAGGACAGCTGCTGCCTCTAGACGTCCCTTTTAAAGGGCCTAGTAGGAGTTCCAAAAACAGTGACTTTGGAATTCCGATAATCAGACTGGCTGTTGGGCTTTTCCCTTTTGTTAGTAGAGAAAGTACGGGGGTTTGGCATGACTTTGGCAAGAGTGTGATATGACCCCGTCCTGTCACTGGAACTGTGGCTCATCTCAGTCCTCTCATCATAGGCAAAAGTCTACTCTTGAGTGGGATGACTACTTCTTTCATTTTCAGTTCACTTGTGTAGTACTCTAGCTACAGGCTGACTGACAGCTCCAGACACCAGTGTCCCTGTGGACAGAGCACTGGCAGATTTCAGGGGAGTTCACACATCCCTGGAGGCAGTACAGCAAAGGGTAAACAGGTGTTTATGGCAGGTGAAGGCAAACTTCTGAGAGTCTAGACAGCAGGTGGGAGAAATGTATTAGTCAAGGTTTTTAATGCATATACTTTTCCAGCAGAGGTTCCCTTGTTCCAGCAGTACACTAAGAACTGCATCAGGAGGTCCATTCTATAATGCTTAAAAAACCATCCAAGTCATGTAGAGTGGTGGGCAGTGGCAGCTGGAACCTCCAATTGTAATGTGTATCCCTAGTGGTTCAGACCACACTTGGAGAAGCTCTGCTTTGTTTGATTCCTCATGCACAGCAGGGACCTTTTATTTTTAACAGAAACTTTTTTTTTTCCTGCATGAAGTCTTACTCAAAAACCCAATCTATAAATCAAATACAAATCCTGTTCTGGTGGCCGAAGCTCACGCACTCCACATGGATTCCAGCCCTTGCAGTGTGGCAGGCCTCCAGGCATGGGCATGACACCCTCTGTCTGTCTCTACCTTGAAGAGACACCGTTGACTCCTCCACTGTCTCACACAGGTGGTCCGTAAATAGATATCAGACGAGTGACTGTGACCGTTTGAAGGAACATCCAGCAGTTTCTGCACTGGAAGGGTCCGGGAAGCATAAATATCAAACTTTTTAACTTCTTTTCATCAGTCTACATACTCCTAATCCCATTCTTGTTTAAATGCTTTATATACACCATGTAGTCATAGGAAGTTTCTGGCAGACTCAAGATTTGAGACCCATTTCTCTATGGAGGAGACTAGGTATTACAGAAATAAATGCTTTTGTGTTTTACTGTGAGCTGCTTTAAGCCCATTTGGAAGGTAGCTGGGGTGTAAATAATGCTACTCACTAAATGAAGTTGTATGCAGATCTAAGTATATCCTCTTCCACCTAAAGGACCTAGCAAACGGTGGGAAGCGCCACATCATGACTGAGAATAGTGCCGTCTGGTGGTGACGGGGGAAGGGAAACTCTCAAAACAGCCTTATGTTCTTGTGTTCTTACGTGCAGCCTTATGTTCAATCTGCTTGGTTACTCTTCTTTATTCTTCTACTATGAATAAAGGAAAAAGAGTTCTGAAAGCAAGAAATTGAGAAAGCAATCAAGATTGTCTTCCCTAAATTCTGACATGAGAGAGAGTGAAGTGACTGTGACTGATACAGAGCAGTTAGGTGGGCGCTGAGCTGGGAGGCGCTCTTTGAGGTCAGGTGCTCTGTGCCAAATTAAGATCTGCTGTGAGTCAAGTGTCTGCCGACAGCACTCATACATTTAGTTTCGGACACGTTTTCCTAAAAGAATTGTTCTTCACTCTAAGGTTGCATACATTTAGTTTACTAACAAGGTTGTGTGTTCATGATAAATGCCTTGAGTATCCTTTATACATTGCTCAGGCATATCTCTGTGGCCATTGGCAACACCTTAGTGATATGGTGCCAGGAACTGCAGCTCAGGATTGGTCTGGGGTAGTTATTCTAAAGGCTAGTAAACCTGTGTTGAAGGTCAAATCTGTAAAATTAAGGGCATAACTTCCCCACTTGGAGGTGGCTTGTGGTGGGTGAGTAGGTGGGACTGTGGCTTCATATCCATCGAGGCCTTGACTTGCCTCTGTTGGGGTTGAAGAAGGACCAGTTGAAAAGGGCCTGAGGGCAAGCAGTTAAAGAGAGAAGGAAGTCAGGGTTTGAAAATTTAAAATACCTCCTTTATTTGTAATAAAGCAGATGCTGGAGAGTGTGGCTTACATCTGTGGGCGGAGGATTCTTCTGATATACTGGGCCTGAGAATTAGGCCTTCTGGTGGCCTGCGGTGCAGGACACCGCCCATTGCCTCTGTGGAAGGAGCAGAGCAAAAAGCGAGTTTTCTGCCAGCAGAGTGGCTCCGCAGGAAGAAAGAGAGGGGCGAACCAGAAGTTACCAGCCTCCAGATCCCTCCAGCTCTGCTTTTCTTCCTCAAGAGCCTTTGGCTATTCAGGGTCTTCTGTGTTTCCACACAAATTGTAAAACTGTCCTAATTCTGTGAAAAATGCCATTGGTAATTTGATAGGGATTGCATTGAATCAGTAGATCGCTTTGGCAGGGGAGGGATAAATTGGGAGATTGGGATTGACATATATAGACTACAGTATATAAAATAAATGACTAATAAGGATGTACTGTATGGTACAGGGAATTCAATACTCTTTTATGGCCTATATGGGAAAAGAATCTAAAAAGAGTAGATATATGTGTGTGTGTGTGTGTGTATTATAACTGATTCATTTTGCTGTGTACCTGAAACTAATACACTGTAAGTCAACTATACTCCAATAAGAATTAAATTTTAAAAAGTGAATTAAAAAAAAGCCAGGAGTTATTACCCCCAATAGTGCTTCCTCCACATGGAAAAAATCTTTAGATGAAGGAAGAAACATACTCTTGTTTTCCCCCTGCCCCCATCAGCAAAGCATCTGGGTTTTAGCTCAGAGTTATCCCAGAGCTGATGTAGCTTCCTAACCCAAGAGACCAGACAGTGTCTATTTAGAAGCTAGCTACACCTTCCAGTGTTCTTAGTACCAGGTGCATCTTGGGAAGGGAAGGGAAATGAAAAGTGATATGATAACCCTGGGGGCTTGTATAGAATACAGTTCATCTTACCTTTTCAGTTCTGCATTGCCTGAGGTCAAATATTATGAAGGCCAATAAGAAAATTATTTTCATTTGACTAAGTTTGATGCAGACTATCAACTCTGCAGAGCCTCTTCTTTGTCTGTTTGCCTATAGCTTTAAGTGGAAGCATTGTCTGCAGTGAGAAAGTATACATACTTGCCATGTATAGTCTTGAATCCAGCAATAACTCAGGGATCGAACCCAGGTCTCCCACCTTGCAAGCAGATTCTTTGCCATCTGAACCACCAAGGAAGCCCAGTAAAAGGACCACTCCTTTATGAAGCAAACTTTCTGTTAATAATGAAAAGTAATATATGGTGGGTTTCTAATCATAAACCACTAAATATTTCCTGTGTGTGCCTCTCATTTAAACCACAGGATCATGCCCAGTCTGCATTTATAACTTGACTGGTCAAGTGTGCATTTCAGTCAGTGAGATTGGCCTCATCAGTGAAATACCAGGATTAGCAAAACCTGAATTGTTAAATGTGCAGGAAGTTTATCAAAGTAGTCAAGTATTTGATTCCTTTGTATTAAAATTTTATTGTCATACTCAATATATACAAATTTAAGTTTGCAAACTATATCTGTAAACTAACCCCGTACCCCACAAAAAAGGATTTTCCAGGATGAACTACTGGTGAATTTACTCAAGAGTTGCTGCCGAAGGAGGTGGAGTAGAGTGGAAGAAGTAAAGAAAGAAGACTGGTCATAGGTGTCCCCATGATCACCCATGAAAGGAGGGGCTAGTCAGTGAATGGGAGATGCAGGCAGAAGAAGGCCTGTTGAGGAAGGTCCAGGGTTCTTCAGAAAAGGGCTGCTAGACAGGACACCACCTCCCAGCCTCACCGGACACCCTGTGGGATGTTGCTGGCACTTTTCCCTTGCTGCTGCTTCAAGACCTACCAACTCCAATGATGGTCTGCTTCTCTTCTGGCCCCAGTGTCCTCGGTTCTTTGTCTCTTACACAGCTTCACTTCTCCAGAGCCTGCTCGGAGGCTCAGTTTCCTTGTCAGTAAAATGGGGGCAATTCATAGTCTCTGCCTACTTCATGGAATGATTGTGGGGATCAGATGAGATGCGTGTTAAAGCATTTTGTTGACTGCAAGACGCTACATAAATGTCAGGTGTTATAAATAATTAACCAGTCTATTTTTCAGCCAAAGCAGTTTCTATGCACATTTTACTTACCTTCTGAACAATTCTCTGTCAAATAGCAAACGTAAATGCCAATGTTTCTTCCTTCTTGGATTATGGTGGTTCCTTTGCAACTTTATGATCTAGGCTGAATCTTTAAGTACTCCTTTGGCTCATAACTCTTCCCCTGAACACCCATGCAAGATCATAATCCATAAAACACAGAGGCAATAACTCCTTTTAATTGTCAGGAGTTCATCATTTGCTAAGTTCTAAATGCAGTCACTTAGACATTTGCCTTGAAAAGCCCGACTCCGTTTACTCTGCAGAGCCGAGACTGTGTGAAGCTGGGCCCTCCTGCCGAGGGAGAAGTCGTCCAAGTCAAGTGGCCTGATGGCAAACTCTATGGGGCCAAGTATCTGGGATCAAATGTCGCCCACATGTACCAGGTGAGTGCCGCCCTGGGTGTGCGCTTGCTGAGATGGACAAGAGAGGCCAGAGCGGATGGTATATCCAGTGTGCTATGGGTCAAGAAGCTACATGAATTTAGAACACCTACTGTTTTATAAAAAAGGCAAAGTTTCAAAGACTGATGACCCAGATAATAGAGTTTTATTCTGGGAATAATAAAGTTCAATACTGGGAAACTAATAACATTTGATGAATGGATTAATAGTCAGGAATATAGTTAGGTCAAAAAGATGACTGACTGGATGGTAGGCTGCTTTCTTGTGTTTCTGTTATACAGGAAAAGAATAAGTGGCTGGATTATCTAACTAAGCCGAGTCAGTGATGGCTGTTCATCACCCAGCAGCCCCTGAATGGGTGGCTTTTCCCTGACAGACGTCATCCCTGTTGACATTTCAGCAAATCTAAACCAGTGGTGCCTCAGCACAGATGGAGCCATTTGTGCACCCAGGCGTGCATGTGTGCCAAGTCGCTTCAGTCGTGTCTGACTCTTTGCAACCCAATGGACTGTAGCCTGCCCAGGCTCCTCTGTCCATGCAGATTCTCCAAGCAAGAATACTGGAGTGGGTTGCCATGCTCTCCTCCAGGGGATCTTCCTGACCCAGGGATCAAACCTGCATCTCTTAGGTCTCCTGTATTGGCAGGCAGGTTTCTTTATGGGATGCTTTTGTGATGAAAAGTACAGTTGTCACTTGGGAAGTCTGTTCACTGAACACCAACTGTATATATTATTAAAAAACATGTATACAATTAAAAGGTCTTCCCTGATAGCTCAGACAGTAAAGAAGATTCCTGCAATTTGGGAGACTGGGGTTTGATCCATGGGTTGGGGATATCCCCTGGAGAAGGAAATGGCAACCTATTCCACTCTTCTTGCCCAGAGAATTCCATGGGCAGAAGAGCCTGGCAGGCTACAGTCTGTGGAGTCACAGAGCCAGACACGACTGAGTGACTAACACTTATACAATTAAAAAATAAACTAATGAACTATATCCCTATTAGAAGTGAGGATGAGTTAAGCTCTAATAAGAAAAACAACATGGATGGCACACGTGCATTTCTATTCCTTCAGAAAGACTTTAAAAAGGAACAGATTTATTAAAACCAATACTTTATAGTACTTCTAGTAATGTGATGGCAGAAATCAACATTCTCAAGCAGTAGTGTAAAAACAGGAAGATTGAAGTAAAAGGAGAAAAAGCAAGAAGGTTCAGGCCTGTTAAGTTAAAAACAGCTTGAGAACGATAAGACTTCCAGTTTCCTCAGAGAAATTGTTCAAAGACTGATAAGGGGCTTGGGCTTAAATGGAAAAAGAACATTAAAAGACTGAACCAAAAACTGGAGCACAATGTAATTAGCAGTGTTCAAAGACATTTGGAAAACTTAGGGAAGGACATTTTTTAAGGTGTAGAAAAAGCCAAGGGGAGTGAGGAGGGGAGAATATACATATGCTGTTTGTGTGTGTGTGTGCGTGTGCGCGCGCACGCGCACACGCACACTCAAAGGCCATTTTCCCCTCTATATTGTTGACAGTGTTAAGTTGCAGATTGAGGTCATTTACAGCAGGTTAGGTGTTGGAGCATTTTTGTATCAGAATGTCCAAAATCAGGCAAACATTATAAGACAGGCTGGTAATACTGGAGTCTCCTAGAAAAGAGCTTTACTACATCATTCAAAAGAAAATAATTACATTTAATTAAACAATACATGCAAAAGTGAAGCATCTTATATGTAGCAAAGCTGTTAGCTACATGAAAGGTATCATAATGAGGACATGTTGAAATTCTGGCTAATTAGTAATCAGTGTGTTAACTTCAGTTGAATTTATGATGGCCTATCAACACAGAACATTGGGCATATTTATAGACTCAATGAAAAAGTTAAGACTAATATTAAAATTGTCTCTCAAGTACAAGTAGTTTAAAATTCCTCATTAAACCAAGTGGCCTTTTGAGGTCATTTTGTGTTTTGTGTCTAATTATTCAGCCTCACCATTGACTAAGCAAAGACATTTATAAAAATAGAACCAAAATATCTATTGCACAGTGCTAAATATCCTGGGTATATGCATTTCGGGGTCCTCACAGTAACTCTCCAAGATAGGGTTTTTGAATCCTACTTTACAAATGAGGGAGGACAAGGCTCAGCGAATTTCATAATTTGTCCAAGTGCACGGAGCTGGTAAAGGGAAGAGCCAGAATTTACTCTCTGCCCTGTCCAAACTCTGGTGTACAACCATCACAGCCTTTGAGGGACTGTCCTGAATTTTAGCACTGAAAATCTTGCATCCTGCGGGACCCCTCAGTCCTGGACAAACTGGGATGGTTGGTCACCATACCATAATTCCTCTGTTTTAAAACTGACTTTTTCTCTTTTAGAATTCTCAAATGATTGGCAACAGAAGAAAGGTAGGCACAGGTAGTTGTAGCTATGTGATCAAACTGTATAAGTGGGTTGATTCCTTGGCCTAATTAAATGTTAAATAAACCATTCTGTTGAAACAAGGCCAGGAAGAAAAGGCTTCCCGTCTCAGCCTTCTGGGAAGTAGCAGAGAGAGTGCCCGTGACCAAGACCTACTTCCGCCCCACTGTTTGAGCTCCGTCAAACGGGAGCAGACATGGATAATACAAAGTTTAATTATATATTTTATCTTCAGTAGTTTTTTAAACTTCAGCAGATTGTTTTTATTAACATAGTACAGCAACATGATTTAACTCACCTTTTTAATTAGAATTGTAAGCATATATTTATTCCTTAAAACAATTCAGACAGATGATTTAGAAACTTGAAAAATACCATAAATGGTTCAGAGTTAAGAACATATTAGAATTAGATATTCTACCTCAATTGCATCCCTTTCGTTGTTTTCTTCTGGGAGAGTTCATGTAGGATTAAGCCTAGATCAGGATCACTTTGAATAGGGTGTTTGATGAAGTTCTCCAGATTATGTTTCTCTTATTCAATGTCACTTACTTTTTCTCTAACAAAACAGCATAAAATATTGAAAAAAAAAGATAATGAAAATACTTCCATTTGAATAGCTTGGAAAAACAAGTTTTAAACATTTTCATTTAGATGGTTATGTATTTTCACACATTGACATGGTTGACACATGAGATTGAGGGGAACCTGAGATTTTTCTGGCCTTTTGGTTGAATTTAACAAAAGTGAGTTTTGAAAGTTAAAGCTCTATAAGAACTTGAGAAATTATTTTATCTGGGAGGATTATAAGAGTAAAATATGGCATCACTTTTTTCTCAAAGAGAAACAGTCCTCCCTCTTAAGTCATCAGAGCATCTTAAAGAAACAAAGAGCACTGACAGGTTCCACCAGTCTTAATGCTAAACTGAGCACAGTCTCATGTTCTGAGAAATCATCTGAGCAGCAGTTATTTTTCTTTCTTTGCTTTGGGGGCATAAAGTTTTCATATCACATATTCCAAGACACTCATTTTCAAGAATTTTGGCCTGTTTGAGACATGCTTTGTTCTTGGTCTGATAAGGAAAAGAGCTTTTCTCCCTTCCTTGGCTATTGGCTAGTTCTCTTGTTTGTTCTGTTTGAATCCTTTTTCTCTCTTTTTTTTTTTTGTGTGTGTAGCTAATTGGAACCCTGAAGAAAATGGTGAACGCTTCTTGCTTTTTAAAATATGTACCATGCTGACTGCTTTATTTTTCATTAGGTTGAATTTGAAGATGGATCCCAGATAGCAATGAAGAGAGAGGACATCTACACTTTGGACGAAGAGTTACCTAAGAGAGTGAAAGCTCGATTCGTAAGTACTGGATGATCTCTGAGGGGTCTGTCCTGTGAGTCCCTCCTCCAGCACTGTTTTCTGAGCCCAGCGGAAACACACTCAGGCCTTTGGACTGATCTTTTAGGAAGCCAATGCATCTTTTCCCTCATTGAAATCTGTTTAATCCAAAACAAATACACTTGGTCAGAAACAGGGAAACCAGTGCAAGTTCGTCATTTTTCTTTATAATGAGGTCGAATGATGCTTCTTTATGTTAACATCTGTTGGCTTACAAAAAGTTATTGAGTACGTATTCTTTGCAAGAGAACTGGGAACATACAAAGATACCATCAAGATACCATTTACAGTCTCGTTAGTGGAAGCCACGTTAAAAGAAGGCTTTCAGTAGGAAAGCCTTAATGGAGACTTAATGGAGACTCAGTATAGCGAACATCTAGTTTGCTGTAGCCACTGAACTGAACTATCATATACAGTGCAGCCTTGTACAGTGTGGGGAGTTGGGGTGCAGACTCTCCACACACTCACATATGGCTGGTATAGTCAGAGCCTTTCTGTTCATGGTTCCACATCCATGAATTCAACCAGCTGTGGGTCGTATAGTACCATCGGGTTTACTATTGAAAAATATTTGTGTATAAGTGGACCCATGCAGTTCAAACCCATGTTTTCAAGGTCAACTGTTTTGATCAACTTCTCTCTCTCTGAAGTTCATTAATGGTTGTGTCAATTCATAATTAAATGAAACTCTCACTTTTATAAAAGAAGGAATAAACAAAGCCCAAATACTAGTTGTGGGAATACTAAAGTTTTTTTTTTTTAAGAAAACATTATTAGTTTCAAGCCCTGTACATACCATTAAAAGACAAACATGAACAAATAATCAAAATTGAAGTTGTTAAAAAATATAATTCACAATAACTTAGTTTTCATTATTGTATCTTAAAATATTTTCTGGACCCTGAAATGAAGCCAGTTTTACTCATTTAGAATTACATCTAGTGCATTTGTGAATGATAAACATTGAAGTAGGAAATTTAAATGAGGGTCTTTTTCTGACTAAAATGAATTTTTTTTTCTGAATAAATGACATCCTTTGATTTCATTGCATGCTAATAATATACTTTTAGGCAATGATAGAGTTATCCTAGATTAGCTTGGAAAAACCATGCGTTTCCTTAAATGTTCACCTGCATATTCAGCCCCTCTCCTGTCAGGTGGGATCCCAAGTAAACCATATAAGGTGTAAACTGAGTTTCTTCTCAGCTGCATCCTGAGGGGAAAGTCCTTCATCACAGTAAAACCATCAAGTGACAGTGCTACCCACCCAGCGAGGCAACGTGACACGCAGGGAACCACGTGCCTGAAAGTAGGTTAACTCTCAGATGACAAACAGCAGGGAAAGGGAAGATGGAGTATTCCTCGAGTAAAGACATCTATAAAACCCTGAAAGAGACCTGAAACCCTGGATAATTTGTCAGTGTTCTAGGTCTTGAAACTCTTAAGAACAACTTTCCAGGTTGCTTGAGCTGACTGCCTCTCATCCTGTTGCTTCTATTTACCTTGGACTCTCTATCCCCTTCCCTTTCCTTTTTCTTTTTTCTTTTCCAAATCACCTGGAGATTTAGAGGTTGGGAAATGGAGTAGGGAGCCCTCTGGAAGTCCCTCAGGTCTTTGATTTTCTAATTCATGTATGATTAAGCATCCTACCAGCTGGGTCTTGTAGATTTCAAATACCATTTCTTAATCACATTAAAAGAAAGTTGCTCTGATCACAATCTCTTTGTTCCACAGTAGATTTGGCTCTTAATGTCAGTGTGCTTTCCCATGTAGCTTTACTTGAGCACAGCTTCTGAGTTTCCTAAGATCCATTTCTCAGAGCAGTCACACCAAATTGAACTTTTTAATTTTCAGAGGAAAAAAAATTTTAATTAAAAATATATAAATCACATAGATATTCTGAATCTAACCTGTTATGAGCCTAGTAGAAAACCTCTTTAGGGACAAAATCTAGTTTGCTCACAGTCACTAAATCCAGTTTTGCCACCTCTGATTTTACTGAATCAAAGACATAACGTGCTTCTGTTGCAGCAAACCAGCTTTTCCTTCAGGTTTGTGTATAACCCTCTGGCCCGTGGCTAGCCTGTCTATGAATGCTACTTTTTCTTCTACTTGGTGAAACAAATCTAATTGGAAAACTTCTTGATGGAAGATACTTTATAATTAGAGGGGTTTTTTTGTTGTTTTTGTTTTAAGGAAGGGTAGGTTGCAGCCCTCACTGGGGGCCTTCATGTTTTAATGACTTCTGCTCACCCAGACACATGCTGACTTGGGGAGAAATTTTTCAAGAAAATCAGCAGTCCACCTCGGTGATTGTGCTGGGTTCCTTCCCACTAACTTCAGAAACGGCCCCATTACCTTTTATTGTCTCACAGAATAACCATAGCAATGGTGCATAATTAACTGTCGCTGCTGGTAAATCGGTTTTATTATTAATTTGAAAGGTTGACTTTTGCTGTCTTCACACAGTGGCAACACTTTTGTATATGTTTGATTTTCTTCTTTAACTTTAGCACTTATAAAACAGAAAGATTACTCAGAGGAAATGCTTTGCCAAGAATGAACGAACCAAAACTGTTTTCTTCCAACGACAGAGAGTGCCCAGCCCATCCACAGTCTCTTACTTTGCTTCCCGGGTGAAGCTGGGTAGCATCTGGGGGAAGCCATAGAGGGAGCCTGTCACCCCAGAGGACTGTCTCACGAACGTGCTCAGCTTTTAACCTGTGCCTGTTTTTAGTTTTCAAGCTTCTTTGTTCCATTGTTTTTCTCTTCTTTATGACTGATCACCTGTTTTCAAGCCTTCAAATCTAGGCTCTGCCTCTGTCACCACCAGGGGAGGGGGCCTCCATGACATAATGAGGTGTACTGTACATTGGTGGCATCTCAATAAAAACCAGTTGGGAACACATTCAAGGGGCAAAAATAGGGAATTAGGAAGGAAAAATAGTGCTTTAAAGTAAGCTTTATGGGAAGGAGGAATCAAGATGGCAGAGGAGTAGGACATGGAGCTCACCTCCTCCCACAGATATGTCCAGAACACACCTATATGTCAAACAGTTTGCATAGAACATCTACTGAATACTGGCAGAAGACCTCAGACTTCTGAAAGGGCAAGAAAACCTCCACATAATCGGTTAGGATGAAAAAAAAAAAAAGAGAAAGGAGTGGGGACAGGACCTGTGCCCCAGGGAGGGAGCTGTGAAGGAGGAAAGGTCCCCTCACTGGACAGGTGCAAAGCTTCAGAGCCTCAGAGGAGAGCGCAGCAACCAGCTTCTGGAAGGCAAAACAGAGTGTGACCCACACTCCCTGGCAGTAGACGCTTAGGTGCTGGCCCAGGCAGGGGCTGGGTGCTAAAGCTTGGGCTTCAGAGGTCATACCCAGGGAGAGGAGTGGGGTTGGCTACACGCAGACAACCTGTAGAGGCTGCAATATTGCAACTGAGGCTGCACACGGAAGAGGCCTGGGCCCTCAGAGGCGAGGACCCATTGTGGAGGGCCACGCAAGGAGAGGGGCAGGCACTGCCAGTGGAGCTCCTTTCCCTACGCACGCTCCCGGGCAGCAGGATGCCACCTACAAACTCCGGGGGCAGACATGAGCCAGCACCACCTTTGTGAGCTTCAGAGGTGGGCATGGACCACTGAGAGAGCCGCAAGCAGCCGCCAGTCGCTGCCCCTGCCATCCAGGGAGCATGTGTGGGCAGCAGGCAGGGGCCAATCACTGCGCCCGCTGTTCCGGGGTCTCAGGCTGCTGCTGGAAGACCCACAAGCCGGTGCTGATTGCTACCCCGGTGTACTTGGAGTGAGTGCGGGCTGCCAAACCTTTGTTATTGTTGTTCAGTCACCAAGTCATGCCTGATTCTTTGCAACCCCATGGACTGCAACACGCCAGCCTTCCCTGTCCTTCACTATCTCCCGGAATTTGCTCAAATCCATGTCCATTGAGTCGTTGATGCCGTCAAACCACCTCGTTCTGTGTCATCCCCTTCTCCTTTTGCCTTCAGTCTTTCCCTGTATCTGGATTTTTCCCATGATTGGCTATTTGCTTCAGGTGGCCAAAGTATTGGCACACCCCACATGAAGGGTATAAGAGCCAGCACATGCTAAGGAAGGAGACAGAAGCATCCAAACTAAAAGTAGTCCCTCGATTCCAGACAAGACAGCAGAGTAAAAGGACTTCAGCTCATGTCCTGTCATGAAAACACCAAAATCACAACTAAAATGCTGAACAACCATCAGCAAAAAAGACTGGAACCTACCAAAAAAGACATTTTACATCCAGAGACAAAGCCACAAGAAGACGGAGCAAGAGTCCAGAGCCCCAGGTCAGGCTCCCCAGCCTGGCATCGGGAGGAGTCCTCGGAGCATTTGGCTTTGAAGGCCGGTGGGGTTGAGGGCAGGAGGTCCACAGGACTGGGGCAAACAGAGACTCCACTCTTGGGGTGCACACAAGACTTCACATGCACTGGGACCCAGGGCAAAGCAGCAACTCGTAGGAGCCTGGACTAGGCCTACCTGTGGGTCTTGGAGGGTCTTCTGGAGAGGAGGGGGTCCACTGTGGCTCACCATGGGGGCAAGGACACTGGTGGCGGAGGCCCCAGGGAATATTGACACTGTAAACTCTCTTGGAGGTTGCACTTTTAGCACCAAGATCTGGCCTCACCTAACAGCCTGCAGGCTCCAGTGCTGACGAGGCCTCAGGCCAAACAACCAGCACTGCCCCACCCATCAGCAGACAGACTGCCTGAACTTATCCTGACCTCACAGCCACCTCTAAACACACCCCTTGACACATCTCCTAAAGGTCGGAAGGGTCATCATCAAAAAATCTACAATCAGTGCTGGAGAGGGTATAGAGAAAAGGGAACTCGCCTACACTGTTAGTGGGAATGTAAATCAGTACACCACCGTGTGAACAGTACGGAAGTTCCTTTAAAAAAGGTAAGATAGAGCTGTATGACCCAGCAATCCCACTCCTGCGAATATATCTGGAGAAAACTGTAATCTAAAAAGATACATGCACCCATGTTCACTGCAGCACTGTTTACAACAGCCAAGTCATAGAAGCAACCTAAATGTCCATCAACAGAGGAATGAATAAAGAAGATGTGGTGTATACACACACACACACACACACACACACTGGAATGTTACTCATAGAAACAATGAAATAATTCCATTTGTAGCAACATGGATGGGCCTAGAAATTATAATGGTAAGAAGACAAATATCATATGATATCACTTATAAGATAATTCAGATCAACTTATTTACAAAACAGGAACAGACAGACTTCAAAAGCAAAAGTATGATTACCAAAGGAGAAATAGGGGGAGAAAGGATAAATTAGGAGTTTGGAATTAACATATATGCACCTACATACAAAACAGATGATCAACTAGGACCTACTGTATAGCACAGGGAATTCTACTCAATATTCTGTAATGACCTATATGGAAAAAGAATGGGTATATGTATAACTGAATCACTTAGCTGGACACCTGAAACCAACACAGTATTGTAAATCAACTACACTCCAATAGAAAATAAAGGTTAAAAAAATTTTTTTAAGTAAACTTTACTGGAGCATAACAGAAAAAGCTCACCTTCCTTTGCCTAGCTAACACTTACTGAGCAGTGACTGTGGCAAAGTACATTGCTTGGTGTTGGGAGCACATGTAAAATTCAGTTTATAGTCCCTAATATTCTCACCTTCAAGGGGTCCAAGGAACCCCTGATGGGGCAACACCTACCCTTGATCTCGACCCATGCCTTCATTCTACTGCATTGACACGTAATGTGTTCCAGGAATCCAAAAGAATGAACCTCATTTTTGTCAGTCACCGAGAAGATAGGATATCTTCTGTGCAAAGAAAACAGTACATTTAAAGACAGGCTGGAGACAATTAAGTGTGACCAGGAATTGCAAATAAGTCAGTCTAATCCAAGCGTGGGGTAGGAGTATGTCTGGTTATGTACATCCAGCCTAGAAAGTACAGACATCATCTTAAAGGCAGTGAGGCTATTGAAAGACCATTAAGCAGGGGTGTCATGTAATCAGAGATTTTAGAGACATTTCTTTTAGTAGTTCTGTGAGAAATGGACTAGGGTGCAGCACTGTTACAGTGGTTTAGCAGAGGAAGCATGAGGGCCTGCACCACGGGGTCAGTAAGGTTAAAGAAAGGATGGAGGACTTCAAGGTCCATGTAGGAGGGGGTCCTGGACAGGATGGGGACAAAGGGAATTTTACAAAGACCTTTAGGTTTCTGATCACATAGTTAGATTTGATGGGGGTAGTGCTGCCATTTATGGAATTTAGGAAGGACAGCAATGGAGAAAGAAGACTTGTTCACTCTAGGATAGGAAGAGTCTAAGTGCCTCCAGGATAAACATTCTGAGATGCCTGCTGGGTAGTTGGACATGCAGGCTTGAGCACAGAGGGAGGTATGAACTGGAGTAAGACATCTGAGCGTCTTTAGAATTGATGTCAAAACCGAAGTTGTGAGTGTGGCTAGGTAGGCCTGGGGAGCATATGTAGAGAGGAAAAGTCCACACGCAAAGCCTCAGGGCTATCATAGTTGAGCTAATAGTTAAGGGGAGCCCCTGACACATGAACAGTGAGCAGCCAGAGGACGAGGAAGAGGGCTTACAAAATGACAGAGAGCTTCATGCAAGAGTGAGGTGCCAGAGTAATCATACATTTAGGGTAGAGGAGTGTCCTAGGAACCAGGACAGTTGCAGGTAAGTGGTGGGAACAGAGACCCAGAGGTAAATAGGAATAGGGGTGAATTAGAGCGACTGTGGACAAGTCAGTCACATGTCAGGCAGGGGCATGAATAGTCAGGGAGATTTAAATGAGAAGACTTTAGTTCTGCTTGTGTTGAGGAGAGTCCCTGAGGGCTGGAGATCCTGAAGAAAATGAGGCTAAATGGAAGTAGTGGGGATGGGGAGGCACTCCGTGGCCCCTGGGTGCGGCCCCCCTCCCCACCCCTGACTGGGCCAGGCCTTTGTCTGTTCCTGTGACGTCACGTGGCTGCTCTTCTGCAGATAACACTGGCTGTTCTTAGTCCACAGCTTCTGACATGCGATTTGAAGACACGTTTTATGGAACAGATATAATCCAAGGGGAGAAAAAGAGGCAGAGAGTGCTGAGCTCCAGATTCAAGAATGAATATGTGGATGACCCGGTCTACCGCACGTTCTTGAAGAGCTCTTTCCAGAAGAAGTGTCAGAAGAGGCAATAGTGTGCCTACATTGCGCTGCAGGCCGCAGAATGACGGGCAGAAGAGGACCGAGGAAGGACAGCCTGGGGCCGTGCCGTGTGTTTCCCTGGGGTAGGTGACAGGCTGTGTCTCTGACAGTGGAAAATCAGGCTCCCCAGAGTGTGGTCACCAGAACCACAAAATATGCATTATTAATTGGATACTACAGTCTGAAGCTGTCTCCTAGTCTTGCTTTCACTTGTTAGCAGTTGTCTCCTTTGATCCCAAAGAATTTTTCTAAGTGAAGGAAATCACTCACCAAAAAAAGCCACTGCCAGAGGAGGTGGATCCCCACACATGGCTTTCAGGCCTAAGAACGAACAGAGACCGCTCCCCTCTGTGAGCAAGTGGGGGCCTCCAGGCCCAGGTGGGAGGGTGATAACATATTTTCCACAGTCAGGGAAGGACTCTCACTTATTTGTTTTAAATGGCAGTTTTTATAAAACATTTTTAAAACACAAATGGCATGTATGGTAATGAGATTTACCCGTGTGCTATCTGTATTTCCCTTGTATAGAACTTTTACATTTTTTTATATCCCTTTTACTTTTGATTGTGTCTGATGAGAACTGAGTTGTTGGCCTCTATGAAATTTTTGGCTCTTGAGAAAGAATCCTTATGAATTGTCTTGGAATTTTATATATTTAAAGAGGGAGATCTGGGGCTGTTATTTTTAAACACTTTTTTTTTTCATAATACATATTCTGAGTAGATATTTATAAAATATGTTTCTTTCATTATGTGTTTGTAAGATTAGAGTTAAAAATAAATATGCCTCGATGCATAGTTTTGAGGTAATATGATTTTTCCTTTTTAAAACAGCTTGAAAATGTACTAGTGTTTAAAAATAAAGATTTCATTTTCTCCAATCCTGTCTTCTAACTTGCTTATTTGTCTAGGTTTAAACCTATAGAAAACAAGTTTTGTTTGTGAGCTGACTGTGAAGACATTCTGGGGCCCTGGCTTCAGACTCTTCTTTCCTCACTGACTTTGTCCATAACTGTGGACGCACTGCCAGACATTTATGGCTGCACTGCTGGGGATAAAGTCTGCTCTGCCTGCTCACGGTGCCTGCTGAAGTGTTTTCCTCAGCTCCTCCTTTGGGCCTGGAAGAAACCTGAGCATCTGGAATCTCACTCTTTTCATCGCGGGTCTCTTGGTCCTCAGCTTCACTGGAAGGGGCTTTATGGATCCTCCAGTCCCTCCCATCACTTTGTAGATGGGGGTGGAGGAGAGGCGGGGAGACGGCTTGCCCACGGTCACACAGTGATGCTTCAGTTAACTGTGGCCATAGTGATACTGCATAACCAACACCTGCAAAATCTCAGTGCCCTGTGGCGAGATGCTCTGCTTTTGCTTATGAGCCTGCAGATTGACTGATCAAGGCTGGGCTCGGCTCTGCAGGTGTGCTGACCTCGGCTTGGGCCAGCTCACATGTCTGCTCTACGTGTCCCCATCAGCCCACTGGACCTAGTGGGCTAGCCCAGATTTGATCTTGTCTGGTCACTGGCAGAGGCAGAGAGGCCAACCAAATGAGTGAATTTTAGGTCTAATGTTGGTTAACATCCTGTGGCCCAAAGCCCAGAGCCAGGGATTAGAGGGCATTTCAGAGTTTCATGGCAAAACGTGTGGATATATCGTGTTACTAGGTAGAGAGTAGAGAACTGAAGCATCATGACAGCCACAGCTGAAGCTCAGCTCTGCAGACCTCTAGCTGGCTGACGTTCCGTTTTCCAGAGTGCCTTGTGGCTGAACTCTGAGCTGGGGGAGAGCCCATCAGCCATATTTTTACAAGGACTGAGCACTCCACATTTTCTGCCAGTACAGTCATACATTTTATCAAGTAATCAAGCTTGCCTTTTCTATCTCCACATTTTGAATGGAACCGACCTGCTCTCTCCACAATATGCCAGGAAAGTAGGCCTGTATAAGGCATTAAGAGGAATTAATCTAAATAGGATCATTCGTATTGTACAAGTTTGCCTGTCAGCAAGATTTCTGATTGGTTGCCACAGGGAGAAAATGTGCAGAGTCCTATTTGATCTCCAATACAGCTGTTTTTTATGGTCTCACTTAACTAATGTTCCTATAATCAAGTACAGCCATATATGGCCTAAGCAAAATAGTGTCGGCCACAAGTACACTCTGGCTCTTGAGAAAGACTCCTTTGTTTCACTGCATTCCGCATGAAGTCGTTATTAGCTCTCTGACCAGACAAATCAGTAAAGCTTTTTCGCTTACTGTGTGACACCTCAATTGTAATTTTAATTTCTTTGCGTTACACTAGCTGCATTTTTAGTGAGCACATGTAGCGTGAAATCAGTTGAAGTCCTAGTATTAAAAAAAAAAATTGCTGGCTGTGACAATTCTAATGTAATTCTAATTATAAGCCCTTTCTCTGGAGGTTAGAGGATTAGTAAAACTGCCTGGCATATTTCACAACATTTTAGTTCCTTTATGTGTGTTTGAAATGAGAACAATGTGATTCTTGTCAATTTACTTTTATTAAAGTACTTTTGTTTAGTTCATCTAAACAGAAATTGAGAAGAAGTATCTACTAAAATATCACATGACTTCACAGATGCATTATAAATTGCTCCTGGGTAATGGCATATGAAAATGTGAAGATGCAGAATACAAAAACACACAGTGAATGGATCTGCCACTTCTCCTTATACCCGTCCCATGTGAAGCAAGGCTGAAACATATTTGTTCCTGTAAATGACCTGGAGGTCTTATGATACTAGAGGAGCATATGCTGCAAGATAACATTGTGTTTTATTTTTGCCTTTAAGTAAAAAGGATCTGAAATGAAACAATCTTCATTTTACATACTAATCAGCCCCCAAAACTTGAAGCAAACTAGAAATTCTGAGACATTACATGAGTAACTGGTTGGTTGCAAAGACTCGATTTTACAAAAGACTGCTTCTGAGAATTCATATGTGCATCATGGGAAGTATCTTGAATTCTCTCACCCAGTATATTGTTGAGACATACAGCACTGAGTGGCCTCTGAGGAGCCTGAATTGTCCAGCAAGTGCGCTGAAGACTCAGAAACGCCATGCTCTATCCTCAGAAAGTACAGGTCCACTTGAAGAAATGGAAGTTTATTGATGATATTAATGATGTGCTGAGCATCTATTGTTATACACTGCCTGGTGGGCTTCTAATGGTATTTATCTTACTTAGTCTCCCCAAAAAATCAGCAAAGGAAATACTCTCCTCTTTCATGGAGGGAAACTAAGGTTTAGAGAGGTTAAGTAGCTTTTGAATCACTTGACCTCGATGCATGAAGAAAAGAGAGGATTCTAAACCTGACACAATCAAATAACACTGAATAGATGACTCTGAAGCTCAAAGACAAATTAGCACTAAAGATATAAATTAGAAAGTCATCATCTTCATTTTCTTTGAGAATAATATGAAATTTACCTTCTGGTAAAGGCAAAACTATAGGATCAGAAAAGAGATCTCTTGTTGCCAAGGACTGGAAGTGAAGGAGGAAACTGACAACAGAGGCTCAGCTTGAGGAAACTTTTTGGGGGTGATGGCAATATTCTTTATCTTGACTGAGGTGGTGATAATAGGATTGTATGTCAAAATTCACAGAACAGAACACAAAAGGTAGATACTACTATGTGTAAGTATCACCTCAATAAACTTGCCTTAAATAAATAAAATCTAGTGGAATGGTGGTCAGGTAACTTGGGAGAGAACATCTGAATGAGATGAGAAGATGTGAAAAGAAACCATGAGCCCTGGGAAAGAGCCACATATAGCTGAGTCGTGAATGAGCACTGAAAGGGGCCAAGAAATGGGAAACCAGGATACTGTGATGTCATGGACACCAACAGAAGATGGTGTTACAAAAAGGGGAGGGGTCAACAGAAAATGCTGCAGTGTCCCAGATCACACAGTTGGTCATTAGGAGAACACTGGTGTCTTTCATGAGAACATTTCACATGGTTTCAGATGAGAAGCCTAGTAATATTCAAATGGGTGAGAGGAGATCAAGATGGTGGCATAGATGGATGTGGATCTCACCACTTCCCACAAATAGATCAAAATTACATGTGGAACAATTCTCACAGAATACCCACTGAATGCTGGCAGAAGATTTCATACAACCAAAACACAAGAAAAATTACCATGTAACTGGGTAGGATAAAAGTTAAAAAAAAAAAAAGGATAGCATATGTGCCTCTGGGAGGGAGCTGTGAAAGTGGAGAGGTTCCCCCACTCTGGGAGCCTCCTTCATAATGGGGAGAGATCAGCAGGGACAGAGAGGGAGCTTCAGAGGAGAGTGCAGCAACTAGCTTGCAGGAGGCAGAATGGAGAGATACCAGCATACCTGGTTCTGACCCACCTCCGTGCTCTACCCTGCACTCACTACCTCGACTGTCCGCAGTGTGCACTGGCCATTAGCCCCTTGATTGGGGGTGAGATTGGTGTGGCAGTGACCAGAGCCTGCCCTGGATGCTGAGCAGGACCTCCTCTTTAGCATCACAGACCCTTCTGCTCCCAGTTGTTGGAGTAGATGCTCCCTGATCTATTTCTGAGCTGCTGGTTGGGGTAGATGGGATGGGAGCACGTATGCTGGTAGAGGAGCCAGTGAGTATTCCTCCACAGGAGGTGTCCGTCAGCAAGAGCTCATCTGCTGTTACGAGTGGGGGCTGGGTGCTAAAAGTCAGGCTTCGGTGGACACCTGGTGAGAGGAGTGAGGTTGGCTGCACAGAGTCAGCCCAAAAGGGCTAGAGTATGGCCCAGACCAAAACTGGGAGGAGTGTGCAAAATGGAGCCCAGGTCCGCCACAGAAGCCCCACTGTTACTACACACATGTGGAGAGAGGGCCAGGGCCCCACCACAGCCGCCTCCTTCTCAGCAAGCTCCCCATGGGCAGGGCTCCACCTCTGCAACTACTGGGAACAAGCACGCAGTTGCCCCAAACTTGGAGGCAGGGCTGAATCTGAGCCCTGTCT